AAATGGTTTATACTGTTTTTTGTACACAATGGCTTTTAAAAAACATACTTATATTATTTACAAAATAAATTTTAATATTCTCACATTATAAAATTTACTTCAAATCGAACTAATTGGTTAAATGGCTTTGTTTATTTCTTTGCGATTTTCAATTTTCAATTTTTTATTGCTATTAGACTATTTTATCTATAAAAATTGTTTTTTTCAAAATTATTAATTCTGATCTAAGTTTTTAATATTTTATTAATTTTGATTGTAATTTAGTATAGACAATTACGAATAGGTTAGTGTATGAAGAAACTAAAATAAATTATGTTGATCAGAAAAAAATTGCTTTAATTAAATAATGCTTGAATAATTTTTCTAAATAGATATAGTGGGTTTAGAGATTTTATCAATATCAATACTCATAATTTCAACATTACCAAATCTTGTAGATCCTAACTTCTCATAGAGTAAACTATTCGATCTATAAAAAATAAATATCTGTGAAAATTTCAAGCTAATTGCTCTGTTTGAATATTTATGAAATTCTTTTGATCAAATGTTTTTCAAGTTGTAAAGTAAATGAAACCAAAAAATAAAAAAAGTAAATAACAAATGTTCTTATGCTATTTTTTAAAAAATGTAATCAAATATATATTTATAAGCGTATGTGCAAGATTATGCATCATTATTAGAAAATTAGTAAATTCATAATTTGTTCTAAACAAGCGATTTATGCCTTCTTTCGAACCACTAATAAAAAAATTTGTCAAATACACATTTCTTAGAAATATGTGGATAAGCATAGAATTACTTTTGGAATATTTTTAATATATAAATCAAGAAATTAGTTAAATTTTTGCGAAAATTAAAATGTAATAATTTAAAAACACCTAAAAATAATTAATATCAAAATATGCAACATTAAAAGTGTAATTATAGCCCTCTCAAAGTTGTATTATATTTAATTGTTTTTGTAAGCGGAGGAGAGTAAGCAAGAAAGAGGTCTAAAATGCTCTTTATATATCTTGTAGACTAAGACACAATGAATAAAAATATTATTATGAGCAGTATTTAATTTTTTATTATTTTTTTCTAGAAAATAAAAACTATAAATTTTAAATAGATTATTTCTATCCATGTCTATAATTTTCTTCATTATAAAAAAACGTTCAGAGTGTGAAGAGGAAGAAATGCTGATAGCCACACACGACAATTTAAACGCATTCAAAAATTTTGTTGTATAAATATTGCAATAAAAAATATGAATTATATCCATTATACTAAGGTATAATATAATAGTTATTTTTTTTGAGTTATTGAAAACTATAATTTAACATTATTTCATTTAATTCTTTTAAAATTATTACAATCTCATACATAATTCAACATCAAATATAACAGTAGATATATATATATATATAAGATGTCATTCTACGCTTACCTCGTAGTATACAAAAAAATACTTTAGAAGTTTTTTTGTCGTATACTATGAATAAAAAAAATCAAATAATAAGGATAAATTGGGTTATTGTCATAATAGTAATGAAATCGATCATTCTACATATAAACTAATGAAAGAAGATAAAATTTTTTCAAAAAAAAATGTAATAGATTTACAATAAATACTAGAATCAATATACACTATTACGAACAAAATTATGAAAAGTAGGAAAAACAATACCATTTAAATCTTAAAATTCATCGAGCAAACATATTTAGCAAAAAAATATTTTGAAATTTAATTCACCAAAAAGGGGTTTACTGGCTTTTCTATCTAAATGCTAACCTTAAACCTTTTCATGATCATTTATTGTATTAGCAAAGGTTGATGTGAGTTTATGTTGCATATAATTTTTAACTTGCGAAAGAATTAAGGTTGAATGTTGTTTGTGCTTAAATAATTTGATTAATAATGTATTTTACATCTTATTTTAAAAAATACACCCAATGTTATTGTTAAAATATATTATTCAACTAATATTTAAGGTTTTCGCATTTTCTAGCTCCTTAGCACCTCTTTATTCTATATTATATCTAATATTTGAGCTAAAATGATAGAAATTGAAAAAAATAATGAATGACTAATTGTTTTTATATTTCAATTTTGTTAGTATTATAGTGTTTTTCATATTGATAATTTTCTTAATGTGTAGTGTGTAAAAAACATCCAAAATAATTTTTGAACTATGTTTTAGTTCCGTTTTGATTTTTTATTTATATTTTTCAATTTTTCCATAAGTAACATAATGCGTTATGGTATATTTACAACGCGAAATATATATTTTCACTTTTATATTGTCAAAATAAGTTTTTTTAAGTTTTTAATGAAAATACATTTAAAAGATTCAATTAAACTACTACATGTTAAAAGACTCGACATTTCATAAATTTTTTTTAATGCTAGACATGAGAAATAAGAATTAAGTCTTATGAGATCAAGCAATATGTGCTTAAATGTCCAACAAAATTTAACTGATTATTTCAAATTAATTCGAAATTTTTAATATTCTTTTTAGTAATGTATTACATATTTTGAAATAGTAGTTATAATTTAAGCTTTTTTATGTCAAAAATATGCTTTTTGAATTGTACCTTAAGAAACATTTAACTAAATCAATTTATGACATAATAATCGATTCAATATTGTTTTATTTGTTAAATCTCTGTTTTGTTCACATAAATCTTAACAACAACCAGTTTATATCATTTCAGAAAAAATTGTATTTGTTTTCATCAAGATTATATTTAAGCATCTGTGTTTCATTTTAAAGAACACTGTAAAACTTATTTATAAACAATTTTTTTACTCGTGATTACAGGTATTTTATAGATAATTCAATAATTTAAAAATGTTTTTTTCAAGATGATATCTCGATTGATCAAAGTTTTAGATTAACTAAAATTTTCGTGTCTGTGATTTTACCTTTTAATATGAATGTTATAAATTATTGATAAATCAATAATCACTAGATCAATTTTAATTTTTTCGAAAAATTACAATAACCTATACATAAATACTGCAATGCATCAAAACTGCAAAAGCTGCAATTTTTGATTTGCCAGAGTTTACTATAATTATAGGATAATAAATCCAGCATAAGACATAATCATAAAAAATTCTTGTGATATAAAATAACGCCACATATTTTTGAATAGCGAGCTATTATAATATCGGATCTATTTGAATTTAGAATTGTGATCACTTTATTATTGTTTTTTTAACAAAGGAAAAAACTGTTTTCTGACATTTGTGCACTGTATCTTATAATATTTCAATAGTAATTAGTTCTTATTGATATTAGAAATCTTTCTACTTTTTGTTACTATCTAAGCTATATTAATTTTGATCGGCAACGATAATAATAAATGAAAAAAACATTTCAAATAATTTATGAATAATATTTTAAAACGTTTACATGGACGAAAATATTTTGTGAAATATTTAAGAAAGTTATTATTTATAAAAGCCATAAACATGCAATATAGTCAATTTGAATTAAAAATGCTTATTAATCGTGTAATTTTTTTGATAATAAAAGATTTACTGGCGTTAAGTTGATTTTTTTGATCTGTGTGGTAACTTTATATTGCTGTTGATTATTTTAAGACTAATTTGACCGTACGGATATTTTTCATATTTTTATCATTTGTATTTGATTTTTAATAAATTTTTTGTGAATTAAAAATAGAAACTTTTATAAGATAACAAATAGTTTATAATAATGAAAATTTTATTTTTACACCAAAACTATTGATCTTTCGAAATAAACCTGATAAAGTTTTCGATATATGATGCATAAAAAGGAATTTATTAAATAATGAAAATTTATCTGTGGTTTTATTTATATATTTTTTTAGTTTGATTTCAAATTTTTTTTCAGGCAATTTAAAGATTATATCTTTTTTAACAGTTGTATTTAAGTTTTTTTTAACCCTAAAAGATATTAGTTCTGTTGTTTTTAAGGTATATTGATAATGACTAAAATTCTGTGTGTAAATATTTTTAGTACACTAAAAAAAGTAGATAAAAAAATTTTATTGTTCGATTTTAAAATTTAAAAAATATATTTCATTTTTTTTAGATTAATAATAAAAAATACGTTTATTTTTTTTAGAATTTTAAATTCTGTCTTAAAAATAAAAAAAGTATTTTATTTTTGATTTTGCTTTTAATTTTAATTTTTAAAAAATCTTTTATATAAAAAAATGAGCTTTTGAATGTTCAGATTATAAAATTATTTGTAAATCAATGAAAAATATCCAAAAAAAAAATTTATAATTTTATTTTATATTATAAACGCAAAAGAATTGTAATATTGGAATTGTTTCAAAACTAAATTTTTTAACAGAAGAATCATAATTTTATTGTCGATCTAGTTACTTTCACACCATATTGTGTAATTATATCAATTTAAACTTCTCTAAACTATATGTTAGTATTTCATATTATCGTTGTTTTAGTAAAATTATCTTTTTGATTATGTTTACAAAAATCATTTGTGTTGAATATTTTAGAGGTATAAACTAATCTGATACTATTTAAAAAATATCTTCTCGCCAATAAAAATTATGGTATTTTTAAAATTATACAAAGTTAGATTAAATTAGTAAAAGGTTGTTTCGAAAACAACTTCAAAGTACTAAATAAGCTTTTATTGTGAAAATTTAGTTGTTGAAAAAATTAAAAAATAAAATATTCTAAACGCACTGAAAAAAAAGGATAAACATCGCTTTTAGAGGAAAAATATCTTCAAACTAATAAAATGATCTCAATTAGCCATTAAAAAATTGAGTCATAAAACATAAATTTTTAATAATTTTAATCTTTTCAACAAGTTTTGTTTCACTATAAAATATCAAAATTCAATACGAAGAAAAGTTTAGATAATGTAGATATTCTTACACAATAAGGATTACAAATTTTAAAGTTAGTTATTTTACTGGTGAAGGTATTTTTTTTATTTTTTCCATTTATTTTTATTTGTAAAAGGGTATGTGTAATAAGAAAAAAATCTCTCGAGCCGGATTTGAACCAGCGGCCCCACGATATCTAACATTCTACAGTCATGTGCTCTACCACTGAGCTATCGAGAGTTGAAACTTTAAGAAGGCTAAAATATATAATCGTATATTAGCATGTAAATACAAAAGTTGAATATTGTAAGAAAGAAATAATAATAGATATGTATGTACCAGAATAATCAAGATTCAATCTGATGAAAAGTAAATAATTTAATAATAAAAATATATATAAATAAAATCGTTGAGAAAAAATAACTGAATCAAAAATCAAAAAATTCGGTGATTCTGCTTTGTAAAAAAAATGAAACGTGAATGTTTTTAAAAAATAGATGAGCTGATCAAAAAAAAACAATATCAATTATATTAAATCATTTTGATAATTAGAATGAATTCTTTGTCATTCATTATTTCAAGCAAAAGCCGTTTTTTACAGATGATTATCTTGTATGTGCTAATATTTTAAAAAAAATTAAATAAAAGGAATTATAAATAAAAATTAAGATGTTAACGATCAAATTGCAATTTTATCATTTGAAAAATAATATTGTCACAATATTGAACTGAAAATAAGAGAGAAATTTAGAAAATAAGAAAATTATTATTCATGAATGATAAAGTCAAATACATTTTTAAAAATATCTATTTTTTCAAATTTACTACCATAAATAATTTAAAGACAAACAGATTCAAAAAGAAAATTTTAAACAAAAATGTATTTTAAATAATTTTATAGGTTTTTGATTTCTTTTACGCTCTTATATAACACCTTAATCTATTTAATGAAATTTTAAAAAGTTTTGAGATAGATTTTACAATTTTTTTAGTTTTTCCCGTTTAGTAGGTCTCAATATTTTCTGTTGATATTTTTTTGTAAGCATTAAATCTTATGAATGCAGCAATATAATGATCAATCAAACAACAATAAATAGAATATAATACAAGCATTTTTATTATACTTTCTGTGCATTAGTTTGTTTTAAGTTCATTTTCGATGCGTATCAAAGAAACTATTCTAATGATTAACGGAAAATATTATAATAAAGCTATAAATTCTGTACATCATTTTCTAACATGTATATGCTGTATCACATACTAAAATTAAGATTGAAGTAAAAGAAACTTGGTTTTAAAATTGGCGAGTATGAAGCCAGAAATAAAAAGTTACACATCATTATTTTTATTATCTTCAAAACTTTCATATGCACTATTCGATCAAATATATAATTTTTTCGTTTTTTCAAAATTTTTGTATAATTTAAAAAAATCAATGATTTTATATTTAAAGAGAACACTGATATTATTCTTAAATGCGTTTTTTTCGATAAAAAAAACAGCTATTAAGACAATAAAAATACTATTAAGTAACGTTTATGGCTATATCTCATCAAAAAGACAAAGAAATTTAGATTTAAAATTTCAAATATATTGATGGAAAAATGAAGATCAAAATCGAAAATTAATGGTTGAAAAACATTCCGATATCTTTAATATACAATAAAAAAGAATATTTATCATTATAATAATTAGGATAATAAAAATTCGGAATTGTGGCAATTTTATTTTTGAATTGATAAGTTAAACTTAGAATTTATTTTTTTTCGTTATCTTGCATAAAGTGAATGAAATTTATAGAATGCAAAACAACTAAGCAATTACATAATTTTTCATTGAACAATCAAATCATAATATTATTGAGATAGATTAAAAAATTAGACAAATTTTAGTTTTAATTAACATTGAAAAAATTTCGATAATAAATACCAAAAAAATTATCTTTATAATTTACTATATTAAATGTGCAAAGCTAATAAAATCCTTATAATATTCGTTTTTTTAAGAAGAATTAAAAAAAATTCGAGTTTATTAAAAAAGTAGATAAATAAGACAGAAGCTAGAAAATTACGTTCAATGACTCCCGATCTCGCTGAGTGGCCGAGACGAGTGCCATAAATAATAGGTATAAGGCAGTTGATAAAATTGTGTATTTATTATAAAGATATCAGCGTCTTTACTGCGAACATCGTTTCTATTGAAGAACAAAGTGTCCTGACTCTTTAACCAAATTTTCATCTGTGTATGGGCAACATGTTAATCGTTTTATAACACTATGAAGGGAACTTTGAGATACAAATTTAGGAGGTAAAGCCTTTCTGGCGGGAAGTCAATTTTCCTGTTATCAACACCGGAATATGGTAGATATTTCACCACAATGACAACAAAGAAAAATTTATCTATCAATCGATTTATCTATTAAAACAACATATCATTTTTGGCAATAAATCACTTAAAATTTTGCTTGTATTATATCTTCCTAAAACTTCCTGATAAAAAAAAGATATTTTATGGAAAGAATGTACTTAATTGTCATTTGTAATTTTGGGGTGAAAGTAAAACCTGAATAATGAAGTTTTTACATAGAAAAGGCATTGAATATTCTGATAATTTAATCAAATTTCCCTAAAAACATTTTATTTTAATCTATTTTGTACTGAATTTGTTAGTATTAAACTAAAAATATTCCTTTTTAATACCGTATGGGGAAATTTTTATATTCATAGTATTTATGATAAGGTGATTTTTTATGATCAATTTTCTATGATATTTAATTTATATTATGATGTTTTTGTGTAAATTTTTATTTTATAACGATAAATTTAGAACTATTTTAATAAAATACAATATCTCTGTATTCTGGAAATAAAGAGTATTCACTGTAGTTGATTATTTAACAGACGGTTCAAAATCAAAAATGACTATATTTCATATAAATTTAAAGCATCCTATATGATTGATTTTATAATACAAGAAAAAAATTGAAAAGAAAAATTCAAAAAAGTTGGTATATTAAACATTTCGTTGTATAAGAATTTTATATTTTAAAGCCTTTGTCAATGTATTCATTTTAATGTAAACAAAAAAACAGATAAATTTTTGTTTTAAGTTTTTATCTAATTCATATCGAAGTATCGATTGTACTATTTTATATGATCATTATCAAAAATCAGAAATTTAAAATAAATTTATCTTAATAGTTGAGTATAAATTTATTAGCTTTAATACGAATAATGCTGAAAAAATCAAAGCGTTTCAAATGTCACTTTTATTTAAAATATTCTAGTTTCTTAGGTATTTTTTTCGCGCTATACAATATTTTATATGCCATTTTATAAAAATTCTCTGTTTTTATTGATAAAAAGATCACCAGGAATAAAACTAAAGCTAAAACACCTATAGTAGTATTTTGAACTAGTAAGCTAATATAATTTTTTACACCATGTACGAGGTATGAAAATCTCAGTCAAGTCATAAAACGAAACTATAATGAAATGCTAAAATCTCTAATAACAAACAATTTATAAGATATATTTTACATGATTATAAATTCATGGTTTATTAATTCATTAGCACATCATTTCACTTTATCCAATATGAAGATACCAAATTTTATTGTTTTTTAGTATGTAACTAGAACTTTTTTATATGTCATTGACATGGAAAATAATAATAATAGTGCCATCTTTCAATACAATTGAAAAATTTACATTAAATTATATGATTTTTTAAATGTTGAAATCATTTTACATAAAGATTCTTTCAGTATTCAACGGTTCTTCCACCATTTATTGAAATAGAGGTGATTCAATTCACAAAAGCAAGTCACCGATCCAAGAAAATCATTATTCCATAAATACGAGATCATCGATATTTTAGGTATAAAATATGATGGTTATTATTGTTAGTGTTTTATGACGGATTCTTTTTTATTTTTTAGATATTGAAAAGAATCAAAGATTCAAGTGATGGTTATTTTAAGGCAATTTTTTATTTAGTGTTCAAAATCTTTGTTGTTTTTGACATATTTTAAAAGTTGATGTTTTGACAGCTGATAAATCAATTTGATACTATTTGTTCAATTTATTCATTAAAAACTCCAATAAAGCTATTTAAATATAGTAAAAAGTTTAAAATGTCTTATTCACATTCCCATAATTCTTCTGCTATTAAAAAAGTACAGGTCTACCAAAATATTGTACCAGATCGTCCAACCTACTGAATTCGATTGAATATAATTTCTTCGAAATTCAATCTTAACTATAAAATTTAGTTTTTATTAATTTTTCAAACATGGTTAAGATTAGTAAGACTTAGCTATTAACACAACAAAACATATTATTTTTTAAAAAAACATGATTATATAATTTTTCTTATTCAAAATATAAAAAAAGTTTATTGATATTGTTAACATTAAAAACTTCACATATTAATTTGATAAATGATTACAATTTACATCATAAAATACCGATATTCCTAAATACATTTTGTTGGATATGGTCAACCTCTAAGTCTTTCTAGTTTCCTATTTTCAGATAAATAATTGAATATAAAAGAATCTTTTTGATATTTTATTTACAAAAACTTTATTTAAACTAATATTCGATCGAAAACAACCAATAATATTTTGATCAAAAAGCGATCAACAATCAAAAAACTTTTATTTTTGCTTATCCGCAAACTATGCAACAATAATCATGATAAAATGACTAAATTTTTCCAAAAAATTGATAAAACTGTAATTATTGTGAAACATAATAGTGAGAAAAGAAAATGTCAATAAAATTTTTCCAATTTTATAGATAAAAAAATAGAAAATAGCCAATTTAATTTATATAACCATAGCTTAAAATGTAAAACACTATTTTCTACTCATTTTATTTGTTTATTTAATGAAAATTTTTACTTCAGGCAGCAAATTTTTATACATATCGTCATAAATTTTAAGTTTTAAAACAAAAAAAAACAGTAAAATATTCAGAGAACTCAAGGCTAAAAGTTTAAAATAATTGTTTTGAATCAAGTAACTAACAAAAAGAATATTTTTAACTTTTTAAATATTCATATTAAATCTATTAATTGAAAGTATCGTTTTTTGAAATATTTTGAATGCGCATGGGTACTAAATTAAAGTTTTTTCTCAATCATTTTTGCTTATCTGATCAAAACTCTTATAAATGTGATATATGATAGTTGATTTTAACTAGTCTCTTATTTCTTTTTTAACTAATAAATATTAA